TTAATGAAAAAAAGGCAACAAAAAAAGCACAGAGTCAGAAATTGTTGAGTAAACGCGGCAATTTCATGTGTTCTGTCCAAATCTTGTTCGTGTCGGCAACGTGAATGACGGTGGAAAGTTCGTATGTAATCCGAGAGCAATGCCGAGGAATAACTGCAGGTAAATTTCAGACAGAGGGGCATCCTTATAGAGCACTTCAATTTTTTTCAGATACAGATACATAATTTCCAGCATATATATCTTGAAATTCGAAACGAGAATCATTTTGATCAAGAGGTACAAGCGCTTCAAAGCATATAGCTGTCCCAATTATAGCTGTCAATATATGGATACGATGCGGTAACGTTAAACTTTTTTTCGCTGAAAAATGCATCCAATAATCATTTCTAGGACCCGTCCACAGAAAACGTAACTTCGGAATACAAGCGGATCAACGGTAAACTGATGACACTGCGAATCATGCCCACTTCTCGTCCGGAAAGAAACGAGTACTCGCTAGGTAAATACTACAAAATGAGAAAGTAAGGAGCACGGCTGCTGCTTGGAAGTGAGGAGCTTTTAATGTGTCGAACCTCTTAGAATCGTGAGTGAGTGTGGGGAAAAGGGACCTTAATCGGGAGTATTAAGGGGAGAGGAGTCGTATAGTGAAGTGTGTCGACAATGGAGAACAGGCTATGAAAAAGTTCAAGGGAAAGCAGAAATTCGAGAAATTCGCACTTACACAGACATCATTGTATGGTCCACTACGAAGGCAGGTAATGTTGTGAAGGGGTTTGAAAGTATATTGTATAATTATGGATTTCTCATCACAAAACCTGACCTTGCTGAAGTACATTGACTCCTCCCTGACAATCGTCTCCTAGACTGTTTGACTTGAAGGCACGGTCCGCGATCAGGTATCGAAGTTGAAAATATGGCGTCAGGAGGTTAGAGTGGTCCGCGACGAACAACCTTGTACCGGTTTCGCGGCAAAAAATTCTAAGGGAGGGGCGCTATAGCGCAATATAGGTTCAGTGACGCCTCCTTTTCCAGTGACTCCGCCTCCAGACTCCGCCTCCAATGCCCGGCTTTCAGTGAAAA